CACAAAACAAAAATATAAGGGCGGGGGTAAGTCCCAGAACCATCGACAATATTGCCGACAAATTATTAAGCCAAGTGCATGGAAATAGCACGTCGGGTACTGGAAAGAGCCATTAATCAAACTTGCCACAGTATGTTAGAAGGGCGACTCTGTTTTAGCGCGATAAAATGATCGCAACATAGAATGAGAATTTGTTTTAATAAAACATGCTCAATGAATCTATTTGATATCAAATTAAAGTGAAATTTATTTATTTTTATATTTAAAATCTTATTAAAATTTATTTTTCAATAAAAACTTATTAACATGAAACATTAATATGATTAAAATAAATTATATATAATTAAAAAATTAATATTAAAATATCTTTAATTGATATATTTTTATGAAACTTGAGAATTTTTATCAATATCTTTGATTGATATATTTTTATGAAACTTGAGAATTTTTATCTTATATAAAAAAGAAAAAAGATCTTTTTATAGGTTATTTTCTTATAGTTTATACGTTAGGTTGAAAGAATTATAATAAACTCTAAGTATTGTGTGTTTAATTTACATGCATGCTCAGCTTGGGTTTTTTTTGGCCCATCAAGAATGGTTTTTTTTTTTTTTGCCGAACTATTTATGTATACATGACCCGTAAATAAAGAACGAGTCTGGAATAGCTTTTTCAAAGGAAAATAATCTAATTTTTAAGGATTAAAACTAGTAGGTTTTTATTTTTTCTTATAATAGGTAATTAAGGTAAAACAACAAGAATTAATTCTGGTAATTATTGAAATTAATTCTTCATCAATTTTGTTTTTATTCAAAGAAAAATCATGTAGTTTTTAATTGGTGTTGTTAGAATTTTTCAAAATTGATAGCTATATTTGTTTATAGATGTACAATAAAATTTTAAGGATAAATAATTTAATATTGATGATAATGGATTGTTAGCTTACTCTACTTCTAAGTTTCCTCAACAAGTACCATAGTTATACTCTTATACATATATATATATATATATGTATATATATATATATATATATATTAGGATTCAAGTTTACATGTAATTTTGTTTTGTATGATTGCATGCATTCTTTAAGGACAATGCATGCTAAGTTTCTTGTTTAATTTTATTATAAGATTAACTTGATTAGATACAATGGCATGATATTTGAACTAAACAATTGTAATCTATATATATATATACAGCTCACATCTTAACACATGGTCCTAAAAGAGAGCTCACATTGTCCTAAAAGAGCTCTCTTAATATATTTTTCTGAGTATATCTAGAGATGGAGTTGGGAATTTCAGTTAGAAGGGAAATTAGGGGGAAAATCAGTGGCCTGCTAGGCCCTGCCCTCCGTTCCGCCCCTGAGAATACCATACCTTACTTTAGTGCATTATATTAGTAAAAATAAAAAATCTCAATTGCTTACCAAAACATCTCTCTATTAAGCTCTTAAAGATTCAGAAAATCCTCAATGAATCCCCAATCGAAATCTGTTTAACAGATTCCGTGTAAATTGTGTGTTCATGCATGGTGCCATGTCGTATGAAGCACGACATTATTCATTAAAAAAAAAATGTGAGGATTTTGTGGGAGAAACTCAAGTTGAGAGATTTTGGGAAGTTTGAAAACCCAATTGAGACAATTTGAGATTAAGTTTTCTTTAAAAAAAAATAAACACAATCACAAGTCCACAACATATCCATGGAGAGTCGATCAAGCCTGTTAGATCACTTTCATTCAATTAGATAGGCCAGCTTTACTCTTTCTTTCCTTCTCTTTTTTCCTCAAAGGAAGGGGTAGTGAGGCAGGTCCACTGTTGAGTAAGATCCCCGGGCCCCACCTCCCACCAAAACTATGATTTGTCTCCCTTATTTAATTTTCATTTGTTTTTCTCAGCTCATGGGGTCTGAATGAACTCGCTCGGAACTGTCAACAGATCTATTCATCCAGCCACGTTCTTGGCTTCTGACAGACACTTTGCGAAGTAAACAACCCTCCAAAATCAAGCAAACATGGGGAGCACATCTCCTACCTTTAAGCTACCTCTTGTTTAAAAGGCATCGAGTGAAGAAGACATTAGATTTGGTGCTACAAACCCTGGCAAGAAAAGAGAAATAACCTAGAGATGGCAAGAAAGAGGGTGTCTCGGAACTGGTTCGACAAAGTTCGGAGAAAGTTTCTCCGGTCATCTCATAGAAACATCATTCTCAATTCCAACGCTTGCTCAAGCCCCAGCGACGAGATCACAGAGGCAGGCGATTATGAGGTCTTCAATAGCATAGCTTCACCACCTTCGAAGAGAGAACTCGCCATTGAGGATATAGCAGCAATCACAATTCAAGCAAATTTCAGGGGTCACCTTGTATGTACTACAATCCACATCTTTTTTTTTTTTTTTGTTCAGTTCTGTGATGTTATTTTCCTAAGTTCTGTGATCTATAAACTTGACAGGCGAGGCGGGCGTTTCGAGCACTCAGGAGCCTGGTGAAATTGCAAGCGTTGGCTCGAGGGGTGCATGTAAGGACGCAATCACGCATAGCCCTGCAATGCATGCACGCGCTCGTCCGGTTGCAGGTCCGTATTCGGGCGAGGCAGCTCCTCGGCCAGTACAATGATAACTGATGCATCATATAATATCTAGAGTCAAATTATATCACCAAACAATTCACGGAAAGCATTTCATATCCCGTGTAACATTAACACTGTAATTTTAAGGCTCCCTTCCCTTTTATTTACTTAATCTTCCCATCTGAATAAATTTCTTAGCAGAGACAGCGACCATGGATTTGTGTAGCAACTGCAATTGGTTTTATAATTACTTGTACCATCTATCTAGCCTCCTAATTACCCATCACCGCAACACTGGGCAACAAAGAAGTTGCGGTTGTTTCCAAACATAGGTCATCGTTGATCGTACATAATCCAAGTGTTGCATGGCAAGTAGCATAGAAAATAAGGTGTGGGAAAAACAAAATAAAACGTGCAGAAAATTGGAATCTTTGATCAAGGGAAAAGGGGCAACTAAAGTTGAACTAGGACAAAGCACTGTACAACTAACAACTACGTACGACAAAAGGAAATAAAAAAGATGTTAGAGAAAAAGGACAAAAAGAAGAATGTACGATGGGAACTGGCTAGATTTGCACGAATTATTAACAGCATATGCTCCTTGATCAGTGCTGAGAAAAAGCCATCGGATGATTTATCCTTCACCCATCTTCCCTCTCATCTCCAACCTGTTCCAATGAAGAAAGTTAGAATTGTTCAATGGAACTGAAGTATGATGATGGGAAATTCCTTACCTCCTTCGCTATTTGCTGAAGGATATCTATTATCTGAGAAAAATTGGGCCTTTGAGTGGGATCTCGCTGCCAGCATCTCTCAAGAAGTTCTGCAAGTTTT